TTTTTTTTTTTTCATTATTATTAGCTTTTATTGTTAGTATCTTTATAAAAAGGAACCCTGGTGGTTCAGTGGTTGAAGAACTTGGCTGCCTACTGAGATGTGGATGGTTCAAACCTACCAGGCACTCCAGGGAAGAAAGATAAGAAATTTGCTTTCTGTAAAGATTTACAGCCTTGGAAATCCTATGCATCAGTTCTATTCTGTCCTGTAAAACATTATGAGTTAGAATAGATTAGGCGGCAGTGAGTTTGGTTTGTTTTAGTTTATAATTATAAATCAGATCTTCATTTGTTTTGGGGGGGTTGGAAACATTACACCTACACTTACAGATATATTTTAATCTTTTATGTAGTAGATGTTAATAATAAGTTGTACAAAAAAAAAAAAAAAAAGATGGTGGTGTGCAGTTCCTCATAGCTCAACTATGTCCTAAGTAGAGGACTATTTTTATATAAACTGGTTGCTGTAGAACCAGTCCTCATAGAGTTTCCAAGGCTGTATCTGACTATGCAAAAGTCATTCAAAAGGCATTCAACTGAGTGGATCATAGTAAATTATGGATAACATTGCAAAGAATAAGAATTCCTGAACACTTAGTTGTACTCATGCAGAATGTGTACATAGACCAACAGTCAGTCTTTCAAACAAAACAAGGAGATATTGAATGGTTTTAAATCAGGAAAAATGTACATCAGGATTATATCCTTTCATCATAATTATTCAATCTGTATGCGGAGCAAACAATCTGAGAAGCTGGACTATATGAAGAAGAACATGGCATCAAGTTGAAGACTCATTAACAACCTGTGATAATGCAGATGACACGATCATAGTTGCTGAAAGTGAAGATGACTTGAAGCACTTACTGATGAAGATCAAAGACTGCAGCCTTCAGTATGGATTACACTTGAACATAAAGAAAACAAAAATCCTCACAACTGGACAAATAAACTTCTTCATGATTAACACGGAAAATATTGAAATTGCCAAGAATTTCATTTTACTTGGATCCACAATCAATGCCCATGGAGTAAGAAATCAAACAATGTATTGCATTGGCTGAATCTGCTGCAAAAGACCTCTTTAAAGTGCTAAAAAAGCTGATATCACTTTGAGGACTCAGATGCACCTGACCCAAGCCATGGTATTTTCAATTACCTCATAGGAATATGAAAGTTGGAAAATTAATAAGGAAGACCAAAGAGTTGATGCCTTTGAATTATGGTACTGATGAGGAATATCATATATACTGTGGACTGCTAAAAGAATGAATAAATCTGTCTTTGAAGATAGAATGTTCCTTGGAAGGGAGGATGGCAAGATTTCATCTCACATACTTTGGACATATTATCAGGAAAGACCAGTATCTGGAGAATAGCATGCTTGTTAGAGGGCCAGGTAATAATTACTATTATTCAAATTTACACACCAACCACTAAAGCCAAAGATGAAGAAATTGAAGATTATTTACTGACATCTGTAGTCTGAAATTGACCAAACATGCAATCAAGATTTATTGAATATTACTGGTTACTGGAATGTGAAATCTGGAAACAAAGAAGAAGCCTCAGCAGTTGGAAAATATGGTCTTGGTGATAGAAATAATGCTGGAGATTGCATGATAAAATTTTGCACGACCAACAGATTATTCATTGCAAATACCCTTTTTAAACAACATAAACAGTGACTGTACATGTGGACCTCACCAAGTGGAATACACAGGAATCAAATTGATTCTATCTGTGAAAAGAAGCAATGGAGAAGCTCAATATCATCAGAACAAGGTCAGAGGCTGACTGCGGAACAGACCATCAATTCCTCATATGCAAATTTAAGTTGAAGCTGAAGAAAATTAAAACAAGTTCACAAAAGCCAAAATATGACCTTGAGTATATCTTACCTGAATTTAGAGATCATCTGAAGAAAAGACCTGATGCATTGAACACCGGTGACCAAAGACCAGACAAGTTGTGGGATGACATCAAGGACATCACACTTGAAGAAAGCAAAGAATCATAAAAAAAGACAGGAAAGGAAGAGACCAAAAGGGATGTCAGAAGAGACTCTGAAACTTGCTCTTGAATGAAGAGTAGCTAAAGTGAATAGAGGAAATGATGAAGGAAAAGAGCTGAAGAAAAGATTTCAAAGGGTAGCTTGAAAGGACACAGTAAAGAATTATAACGAAACATACAAAAAACATAAGTTGGAAAAGCAAGAAAGAACACACTGGGCATTTCTTGGGCTGAAAGAACTGAAGAAAAAGTTCAAGCCTCGAGTTGTGATATTGAAGAATTCTGTGAGCAAAATATTGAATGATGCAGGAAGCATCAAAAGAAGATGGAAAGAATACACAGAGACACTGTACCAAAAATCACTGGTCAATGTTCAACAATTTCAGGGGTTAGCATATGACCAAGAACCAATGGTATTGAAGGAATAAGTCCAAGCTGCACTGAAGGCATTGACGAAAACAAGGCTCCAGGAATTGGCTGAATACCCATTGAGATGTTTCAACAAATGGATGCAGTGATGAAGGCGCTTACTTGTCTATGCCAACAAATTTGGAAGACAAGTACCTGGCCAACTGGCTGAAAGAGATCCATATTTGAACCCATCCCAAAGAAAAGTGATTAAACAGAATGCAGAAGTTATCGAACAAGATCAACACAAGTGCAAAATTATTGGATCTGTGGGCTCAGTATTATGGTCACGGGAGATAACAAACTCAATCAGCATAATAGACTACACAAAAACATTGTTCCACATCCTACTTTGGGGATTAGATACTGGGGTAGTTTGCAAGCAGGCATCTAGATGCAACAAGTCTCTCCTCATCTAGACCAAAGAAGACACACAAAAACAATTAGTCCAAGGTACTAGTGGACCATGTGAACCTCAACCTAAATGACCATGAGACCAGAAGAACTAAATGGTGTCCAGCTACAAATGTCAACCACTTGTCAAGGATCAGTGCAGGAGATCCTGAACAGGGTGGGAAAAAAACATGGAGCAAAACACAAAATCATTAAAAAAAAAAAAAAAAAAACAGGCTTACTGGTATGATAGAGCATGATGAAACCCCCAAGACTATGGCTCCTAGTTACCCTTCAGGCCTGGAATTGAACTCACTCCCATGACTTCCAGCCACATAATAGACAGGCATGTAAGGGTGAACATTTACACTAGGTAGATATACTCCTTAGCATGATCAATCATGGGAGAAAAATAGGGCAGTATTTGCACAAGGAGATAGCTCAGGAGGACAGGAATGCATGGGAAAGAAGAACACAGAGAAGAGGTAACTATAGGGAGGGAAGTGGGAAGAGAGCTGTTACATGGTGAGGATTGCAGTCAATGTCATGAAGCAAAATAGGTATGAACTGCTGTATGGAAAATGAATTTTCTCTGTGAACTTTCACGAAAATCATAATAAATTTTTTTTAAATTGTTCTAAATTTAAAATAAATATACAGTAGTGGTTAAAATATGAACTCTATTTAAACACAGGAGCCCAGGTGGAACAGTGGTTAAAGAGTCCAGCTACTAACTAAAAGGTTGGCAGTTTAAACCCATTAGCCACTCCATAAGAGAAAAGATGTGGCAGTTTGCTTCCTTAAAGATTACAGCATTGGAAACCCTATTGGGCACTTCC